CCCCCCCCCCCCGCCGACAGCCTCCCTCATCATCGTCCCTTCTCCTCCCCCCAAAAAACAACAGGAAACATGAAGAAAAATAGAAGTGAAACAAGAGAAAGAGATATTTTTCAAATATACGATGCACTTTTTTTTGGATGCGCAATAACTTATTTTTTTATAATACTAAATATATATATATATGTATGTAAGTATGTACGGGCTGGTTCACGAAAAAGGAGGAGGAGAAGGTAGGACTCTGTAACAAACTGTGAAGGATTTGAGTTTGAAGGGTGAGTCAGGGGGGAGAGAGAGAGAGAGAGAGAGAGAGACCCTTTTTGTAACAAACTCACAATCCATACGAGGGGTTCACTGCTTCAAACCAAAATAATGCAAAAAAACAACAAAAAAAAACATATAGTGGATAATAGATGTCGTGCTGGTAACTGTACCAAACGTAAACAGGGAGGAGTTTATTGTTGCATTAAATGTTGCATAAATCGATGTCCGGCTGCGTACTATGAATCCCTGCTGGATGAGTTCAGGGTGGACCGTGTTTCTCCATTGGCCGAATCCCAGTCCTGTCTCCGACGGTCGGTCGGTCGGTCTGTCTGTTCGTTCTCGTCTGTAACAGGTCAGTGGACGGACCGCTGGCACCGCGTAGTGTAGATCCCTGCGTTTTTACTCTCTTTTTCCACCACCAGCACACTGTTCAATGTCCCGTGAAATGAGAATATTTGTGGCTCTGAGGGGTGAGGGTGGAGGGGAGGGAGAAGGGGGAGGGGGAGGGCAGTGCCACCCTCAGAGCTTTGCCAAGACGGTAAATATATGTAAATATTAGCCTTTAATATGTTTTCTCCTCGTAATGCTGTATCATATTATTCTGTAAAAAATGTGTCTTTTGTTTTTACTCTAATCATTCAGGAACTCAAATTATTGTCCTTAGCTTTTTCTTCTTTTTTTTTTTTTTGTCGTTGCCATCGCTGTAAGTCATAGAGGAAGTGTGTTGGGGTTCTCAGGGAACTGTGTCGGAGCGGACACCTGCGCAGCACCACCGCCATCACCGCCGTTGCCATGACTCCCGGCATTCTAGGCACAGGAGGGAGAGGTCAGCTGTGGGACGACTGTCAGGTTCAGCTTCAGGTTTGGACAAATACTCACAGTGGAATACTGGTGGTACTGCAGGTCTGGCTGTTTGGACTCAGTCTGTGGGATGACGTCAGATTCTCAGCAGCTCCAGGTCTGATGTCAGTTTTTTGAGATATGTCAGGAATGAAAGATTTTTTTTATTATTATGATTATGAATTAGTTTTTTTAAGCAGGTGAATTAAATTAATTAAGACCGAAATTAAGGAAGTGATTTTATTTTTTCGTTGTTGACAGATGCTTTTTAATGAACGTGGTAATGTTGTGAGCCAGAATTAGAATTTTTTTCTTTTCTGAAAAATTTTTTTTTTTTAACATTAAATCTAACCACTTCTACAAGCGGTGTTTCCATCAGAGATTTCCTTAATTGTGCAACGTCAGAACCAACTTCCTGTTTTTATGTTTTTCGTTTTGTTTGACCTTTGCGATGATTCCAAAAGAAAAAAAAAACCTGAATTGAATTGAACGTAACGCAGTCAACGCTGCACAAAGACACAACGTGTCGACGTGTTTTATTAATCGGCATCACACACCTTTATACATCGACTTCATGGTGATGTTTTTTTTTTTTTATCAACTTTCGTTCAACTGAAATCTCAGAAACTGACGTGAGAAAACCTGAAGTTGAAGTGAAAGAAAGTGCAGATCATGTGACGGTGACATCACGTCTTTATTATATGGAACATGTTCCTGTCATGAGCAGCACCAGCTGAATGGACACTGTTGTACATTATCACACACACACACACACACACACACACACACTGCACTATAGTCCATTAACTGATGTCTGTGCTTCAGCCTGCGGCTGTGACGTGTTCTGCTCTTACTGACCTTGTCTTGTTCGTCCACATGTCGTCATGAATGTATTTTATACTGTATCCATACGTACTGAGGTACTGTCTCAGCTGAATATGCTACAGTCACCACATGTGAAGTAAATGCACTCTTTCATTTTTCGCTCTCATCACAGTGAATTTATTCATTTTTGTATTTTTTTTTTTTCTGTTTTTATTTTCACCACTTTAACTTCAATATTTCATCGTCAGGTTATGGCTAAAAAAAACCCTCCATAGGATTTTTCTTTTCATCATTTCATTCTACTACAGCTAAAGAAAAGGTTGTTTTGTACCAGTGAAGGTCTCCTTAAAGGTACAGTTGGGGTTTTCTGTTGTTTTTTTTTTTTTTACTAATTGTTCATCTCATTTTGTTTGTGTCCCGGCCTTAAAACAATTTTTTTTTTTTTTTTGCTTGTGTTTTGTGTTTTACATAATGCCTTATGAGGACACATTTGGTTTTTATATAAAGTATTGTTTGTGTGATAGAGCACAGGTGCACATGCATGCATACGGTACAGGACAGACACACACTGAGTTCCGGAGGCTGAAACGGCGGCTGATGATTGTAAACGTTGTCACATCACTGCTCCGTCCTCTGTGTGTGTGTTTTTTTTTTTTAGTCGGGATTTTACTCTTGTTCAAAGTACGGTCGTTTGTTGTTTTTTTTTTTTCTCGTGCGATGGTTTCCTCTCCACACAGTGTCACGTACGGTAGTGTGCTGCAGAATGTCGATGGGCTCAGAGGGGGCGTTCGGACCCGGCTGTGTCTGAGGACGTTCGTCTGTCGCCTGCTTTCCTCAGAGGTCACGGGAAAAAGAGAGACGTTTAGAGGAACAGTGTGAGGTGTTTTAAAAACCACTTATACTGAAATAAACTTGATGAAAATCAGACTCAGTCTCATATGTTCTGTTGATCTGGAACGGCCATGTCAAACTTAAATAACAGGAAGACAGTGTGGATATAACCACTCAATGATGTATTAATATTTCTTTAAAATAATTGTTATTTTTTCAAGTTCCAGTTGCCTTAAAAAGTGTACGCTGGACTACAGACTATTGATGGTGAAAACAAATCATACCGAACTTTCAGGTCTTATTTTTCAGTTTTTGACAAACGGCTCCCAAACAAAGAGTATTGTTCAGGCCTCATCTGAGACTCCGAAGAAGGAAAACAAAAAGGAGTAGCCTTGTCAAACACAATCAAACAACGATGGTTAAAAAAAACACACGCTTGACAGTTTGAAATTAGATTACTTTTGAGTCCACGGTAATTCAGTTCAACCTATCAGAAGTCAAAAATCCAGAAAACACACACTGTCTATTTGACAACTCTATTTCTCTGTCCTTTAAACTTTAATTTAAAAACTGCTGGGGTTTTTTTGTTTGTTTTTTTTTTTTTCAGACATTTGATCTAGTCATAAATAATAGTATAATCTCCACGGGGACCAAAAAAAGAAGACTGACACAGGGTGCGGACCCTCGTAGTTAGCATCGTAGAAAACGATAAATCACAATTTTCCATTACTTAAATTGTGCTATTGGAAAATACTTTTTAAAATTTTAGTTTAATTAATGATAAGACTCTTAACTTAAACCCAGCAGTACAGTGTGACAGTGCGGTGTTGGTCGGCGGTGTTGTTGAACACTGCTATCGAGTGTCTCTGACAGACAGTCTGCTGGGGCCGAACACACACTCTCTCCTCCTCTGCTGGAGAAATCACGGCTCTGACCTTGTCAAACACACAGACAGAGGCAGCAGGCAGACACGGCCCAGAGGAGAGAGATGATTATGGTTAATGCCCCGGAGGCCTTTCAGGATCGGAGAGTTTGCCTCTTTGCCCTTTGAAAAGATTTAAAAGTATTAAAGTTGTTGGAGTTTGGATACGCTGGAGACGAGCAAATCAAAGAAGTGAGACTTTTTATTTGACTCATTATTACTTCGTCTCATTTAATTTAGGAGTGTGTCCTTTGGCAAGGTAAATATCACATCATATTGATGCTCCTTTAATGAAGTTAAGAGACGTCAGCTCTGCTGTAGAGTTGGAAAATGGTTTCCCTTTTTTTTATTTGAAAGTCTCAGGTGGACAATACTGATCAGTCAAGACACCACTACAGCACTCGTGTCCAATTACTTCAACGGACAACTGTAATTCACCTCCAGTGTGTAGGAAACATCAGTAACAACCTCAACACGTTAGGGAGCGTCTCCCAGTGTCTCCAACAGCTTTGAAACGTTTGTTTTTGGTGTTAGCTGTGTAGCATCAGCATCATTGTCTTCTTCAATCACAATGTTACAGCACATGGTTGGATGAATGGATGAATGGATGGATGGATGAATGGACATATGGATGGATGGGTAGGTGAAACAATGGATGAACAGATGGTTGGATGTTGGATTGATGTTGGATGGACCGATGGATGGACAGATGGATGAGTAGATGATGGATGGGTGGATGGATGGATGGATGCATGGATCAATGGTAGATGGGTGGTTGGATGGATGGATGGACATATGGATCGATGGGTGGATGAACCGTTGGATGAACAGATGGATGGACCAATGGATGGATAGATGAATGAGTAGATGATGGATGGATGGGTAGATGGATGGTTGGTTGGATGGTTGGATGGATGGATGGACATATGGATGGATGGGTAGATGAACCGATAGATGAACAGATGGATGGTTGGATGCTTGGTTGGTTGGTTGGATGAATGGACAGATTTATGGTAGAAGATAAATAAAGTATTTTGTTTGTGAGTCTGGAAGAACAGGATAAATTCCAAACACCTCCTTTAATTAGCGCTGTTGTCTTCATGACCGTGTGTGA